TTTTTTTTTCTCTTATTGTCTTCCCTTTCTCGTGATTCTAACCACAAAACACAAACGTCAAGATTGCTGGAGCACTGCCGGAAGCACATGTACTTGGCCAGGACGGGCGAGACCTTTGTCACGTTGGTGGTGCGGCTGCTGGAGCGGCTGCTGGACTACAGGACCATCATGCATGATGAAAACAAGGAGAACCGCATGAGCTGCACGGTCAACGTGCTCGTAAGCTGGCTACTATTAAATGCTTAAATCAGGGGTTCTCAAGCCATTTGGGTCTGGGGACCCCTTACAAGGGCAAAAAAATTCCAGGGACCCCCTCATAAGCCCCATGTTGTTTTGAAAGGTAATTTATTGTCATTTCAACACCTAAATGCCATGGGAATACGTTCATTATGTTTGGTTTATTAGTTCATTGTTCTCCATGAACTTTTAAAAATAAAAACCAAACTAGCAATTTAGTGAAATTTTTTGAGGACCCCCAAGATGCCTCTCGCAGACCTCTGGGTGTCCTAGAACCCCAGTTTGAGAACCTCTGGCTTAAATACACCGAGAAACTGCGGTAAGATCAGTCTCGTATGCAGGACCTCAAAAGTGATACTTACCTTAAAATTACTTTGGTAAAACTTAAAGTCTCCTTTAAGAATATTACTTATGTCATTTACTGTACTTAAGTATGAAAAGTACATTTCTGATATAAAATGTACCTAAGCATTGATTAAAGGTGAGCAGTTAGAATTTACAAAATAACATTTATTGGAAGTTAACCTCAACCTAAAATACATTTTTCCAAAGGCCATAATGATAATGTTATGTTAAATTGTTAGTGTTGAAAACTTTGCATATACTGTATATCTCTGCCACGCTCATCTTCATACAGACTACATAAAAGTCTGATATGTGTGGCGTGATTCGTGTCTTACTAATAGGGTGTCGGTCTGGTTTTTATTTATACGTTTCCAACAATATTTAAGTTCACTCTATCCAGGAGGTGCCATATGTCTGGATAGGTTTTTACTTTTTGTTGAACAATCACAAGCAGGAGTAAAACCAATCAAAATTAAATAAGAGTAATGACTTTTGACCTTTTTATTTAAATGTAAGCAATACAAGGAAAATCTAAGACACAGAAGTAAAAAGTCGGCTGAAAATAATTGAAATTGCTACTTAAGTAAAGTGTTTTGCCCTTGTATAGGTTCATTAGTCAACTCAAATACACCACCAACAGACATGTATAGCAATAAATTGTTAATGAATGATTGTGTAGATGTACATTTATTTATTTATATGTACATCTACACAGACAGCACAAGTCAGAGCTGTATTTCTTAGGTGTATTTCCTGCATCAGAAGCTTTGCAGGTGTTGTGGGACTCGTGAGTAAAAAGCTGCTAAATGTTTTGTCTCTGCTCCTGCTGCAGAACTTTTACAAGGAGATTGACAGAGAAGAGATGTACATCAGGTAAGATCCAGTCCAGCTTTGTGCTTCACAGAATCTGCTAAGTGTCTGAATGTTTCAGTTCTTTTGAGGAATTTTACCCAAAACACTGAGGCGAAGTGTGTCTCCTGTTATACACCTAAACTCGCTTTTTCTCTCGAGCATTGTTAGAAATAAAGGAGGTGTTTTAAAAATGTGGTAAAGACATGCAGTAGTTCAGAACTTTTAGAAGTAGGGTTCTGGGGAAGAGTTATGAACAAAAAATATCTTACTTGTTGTGGATAGCTCATTTGACAGCCTCACTTTGTTGAAATAGTTTGTTTCTGGTTGGATAAATGAGCTAACAATGAGTTTGAATAGGACGAAGAGTAAATAGCTGATGTTTTTATACAACAGTTGTCTCAGTTATTATTTTCTATCTGTAGCACTTTTGGTTCAGCTTTCCTGCTGGAATATCATAACATTTCTGCTCTAAGAACTGCTTTTAAGTTGTGTTAACTTGAACGACTATGACATTGTAGTTAATTTAGGACAACAATAATCTGCTTTTAGTTCATTAGAATTTTATTTTGGTCAGAATGAAACTATTTCTTTAAACTCAGGTTGTTCAAAGCATTATCTACCACAGGTAAGATATTAATGTTTCCACAGAACCTTCCTCTTCAAATAATCTGTTATTAAAATGTCTGTGACATGCATATCCTTCAGATACAAAAAGAAAAAATATATATAAATTATATTTAAGAAACTTGGAATAAAACACTATTTTAACCATTTTGTTACATATGGTAGATTTTCTTTTGACTTTGCCTCAGCCCAAATGAAACAGGAAGTGACATCAAAGATGTACACACTGGTCAAAATTAATTGAACTCTGTTTCTTTTTCATCTCTCTGAAACTCAAAATAATCTAAAGAAGCAGATTTTTCTCTACAGTCTTTGTCAGCCATTTTAACAATGCACTGTTCACATCCAGACATTCCCCTTTGACATCACTTCCTTTTACTTCACATGTGTTTATTTCAGCGGCGTGAAAATTGTTTTCCAGTATTTTATCAAAGTTATCTTTCCAAAAATGTATTTATATTTATTACAAAAATGTAATATCATAAGCACTTTAAAGTGTAAATAACACTAAAACATGACCTACATCAGTAATCTTTTTGTTCCCAGGTACCTGTACAAGCTGTGCGACCTCCACAGAGAGTGCGACAACTACACTGAAGCTGCTTACACTCTGCTGCTACATGCAAGACTACTCAAGGTACTCAAACAACACTAAAACGTGAATATATTTACTTATTGTCACGGCGAAACTGTTGTCAGGCAAGTAGCATTTAACCTTCAGCTTTAAACAAAAATACAGTATGTGTCTAAATTTAAATGCACACTGAAATAAAACAATTGATCTGCATCCAATTAAAATCAACCTTGGCATTAAAAGGCTGCTGAAGGGGGACAGGGATGCTGAGCAAAGCCTTTTTTGCCCTGCCAACAGAAGTCATGACTAATATCAAATGTTTCCTCTAAAGGAGGGAAAAGAAAACCATCAAAGGGAAAGCATTTTAATGTCAGCTATCTCTGCTTTTCGTGTGAAAACGGGAGCGATTCTTTTAATTTTCATTCTGGTATGATCGCATTTTGTTGATGGCGTGCTCTCTTCTCCTACCCCAAAATACGTTGCAGCACTATAAAAAAATAAAAATTAAAAGAAACTCTTTACACAAAAAGCTGCAGTGTCTATTCCCAGTTGGAGTTTTAGTAGATTGTAAATTTGAAGTTATCCCACCGTGCCTTTTATCCAAAAGTGTATCATCTAATGTCTCATTTGTATTTGCATAAATAGCTTTTGCTGCTTTAGCCCGCAGGTTCTGTCAGAGAGAGGAGCAGGCTGTGACTGAATCGTGTTTTCCTCTCTGACTAGTCACAGTCACGTTCGCAGGAGTTGAATACATTACGCCAGATTTGCTCAACTTTTAGCATCTCTGTTTTCCTGATTAAAGCTTCCATAAGGGAGGGCTTTATTAGAAGCTGATTAACCTGGTTTTACTAGTGCCTGTATAGTTCTTTCTGGCTTTTTTTTTGTGGACTCCTGCTGAGGCACACAAAAGGAAAAAGTGCTGCTGATCAGATAAAAAGTACATTTTTGTTCAAATAAAAGAGGTTTGTTTTAAGTTTTAAGTGGACACGACACCCTGTTTCCACCAGCATTAATAGAATACACAATGCTCCTGCAGCATTAATGGAAGATGAGATGGAAAATCTTGTTTTTGTTATAACTGAGGAATTCAAAGCACATTGTGTGTTTTCAGTAATGTGTCATTTTTTTATTTTTGTCAATTCGGGGTCAGCGGCCATCTACAAATAAAAGCGTAGATCCTTTTTACCATTTAAATGCTGCAGTCAAGCTGTAAAGAAATCAATAAGTAAAGCCTCCCTGCTTTTCCTCCTCATACCACAGCAGCTCTGCGCAGAGCAATTACATTTTTACTCATCTCTAGGACAGGATGTGCAAATTTAATGGCTTTTCTTTTTTTTTTTTCCCTCAAAACCTGAAAGACCTGAACTACACCATGGAATCTCTGGTAATAAATCCGTCCTGACAAATCCATAAGATTTTAACGTCTTTATACTCAGGCCAATCAAATTGTCTCTTCCTGCCAAGCTGCTCCAGCCTGTCAGAAATCTTATTATTCTCGGTGCTGGTTTGAAGAACAAGCACATAAACATGCCTATCTCAGTGGTCCCCCCC